TTTTCGTTATCCCCAGGTTTCTAACACAGTGACGGTACGGATGCCGGCCCTACGTACCCATCCCGGCCCTGTTCGTGTCGTCCACGCGGCTGCCTAACGTGGTCCGTGATGTTGAGCTCAACATCACGTCGGGAGCCATAAGGCCGGGATCCCGACGTAATGTTGAGCTCATAAGAAAACGACGACGAGGAGGACGACGAAGAAGAAGGAGAAGAGGGGCACATTCACACTAGGACTTTTTCAACTCAGCTCTTGACGTGATTGCGGTCAGATGCATCCAGGTCCGCCCATAATCGGGTTCAGATACATTCTAGAAAAGTGCTCCCAGCGTGAGTAGATGCCCGAAGACGATGATGACGATGGTGACAGTACTGACTAATGATGAATATGCCGACGGTGATGCGGATGATGATGATGATGAGCAGTAGGAGGAGGAGGAGGAGGAGGAGGAGGAGGAGGAAGAAGAAGAAGAAGAAGAAGAGGAAGAAGAAGATGATGATGATGATGATGATGATGATGATGATGATGAGCAGTAGTAGTAGTAGTAGTAGTAGTAGTAGTAGTAGTAGTAGTAGTTTTAGGAGGAGGAGGAGGAGGAGGAGGAGGAGGAGGAGGAGGAGGAAGAAGAAGAAGAAGAAGAAGAAGATGCAGATGATGATGATGATGATGATGATGATGATGAGCAGTAGTAGTAGTAGTAGTATGATGATGATGATGATAATGATGATGATGATGATGAGCGGTAGTAGTAGTAGTAGTAGTAGTAGTAGGAGGAGGAGGAGGAGGAGGAGGAGGAGGAAGAAGAAGAAGAAGATGCAGATGATGATGATGATGATGATGATGATGATGATGATGATGATGATTGGTTATGATGATCACGGAGATAGTAATTATTGATAGTGATGATGATGGTAATGGTAATCATTGATAGTGATGATGATCATCATCATCATGATGAGGGCGAGGAGATGAACGGAACGGTAAATGAGGAGAAGAAGAACAGTGATGAGGAGAAAAGGCTGATTGTCAGAAGAGTGGAACAGGGAAAAGGGGGATGAAGCAAGAAGGAGCAATGAGAAGGACGACGTTAGGAGGAAATGCTGGGGAGTATGACGATGATGATGAACGTTAAGGAGGAGGAGGAGGGGGGAGGTGGCGGACTACCTTCTTTCCTTTTTTTTAAAAAGTAAGCCAAGGCTGGTTAAAAAAAAACAAAGAAAACCAAAAAAAACGATGATGATAAGATGCAGATAGCACCCATCTCATTATCCCTCTGCACCTGAAAAACGTACGGTCATTACATTTGTATGGACTGTATTTGAGGTAACAATGAGTCTAGATACAGCAATAATAATGAGCTTGGCAAGCTGTGAGAAACTATGGGCGCGGCCTACGTACCTAAACCAATCGGATGGAAGAGTCGGTGACGATGATGATGATGATGTTGATGACATGGATGCTGCCGCTGCTGCTGCTGATGATGATGATGATGAATGGTGGTTGATTGACATGAACGACTATTTGATTTCGAGTTCGTGGTAGGGCGCGCTTAGACGAGATTGCTCAACAATGAATGAGGTAGTGGCAGCGAAACCGCTCTCACGACGGGGACGTTAAACGAGGAGGAGGAGGAGGAGG